CTTCTTTCATCGCACGGCAATAGAGTGGAATGGGTTACCTGATGAAGTTGTGACTGCAGCATCAATTAGGTCATTTAAGCAAAAGCTAAAGGATTTCTTGGAAATATAAATTTACATCTACTTCTTTGTCTTTTTTTTTCCTTTTTTTTTTGGGTAACAGTAATCATAAGGGCTCCTCGCGCTTTTCTGTTATCCCTGCAACATTCTATTATTGTTTTCTTAGCTATCTTTTTGTTGTCAAATCAAATCAAATCAAATCAAATCAATCATAGTGCGAATATTATTGATATGAGGCAACCAGTCTAACGCTGATTCCAACGTCAAACCGAAGTGAACGTGTTTCCCAACATATTCTAGTGTTATACCATCAATAAACAAGGAAGAAGCAGGAGTTAGGGTTTTATCATGGGAAAATAACATGGCGACACACTTATTAATATGTAGTGGTAGAGACCACTGCTTAGATCAAAGATTGATTCTCTCCAAATCTTCGTTCATAGTAGAGACAGCTCTCCCTCAGTCATCCGCTTCAACATACAGTAATACGCCATCAGAAAACAATTTACAGATAGAACTTAATCCCCGGGGGAAGATCATCGATAAATATTGGAAAGAGGACTGATCCCTGTGGAACACCACAAGAAACAGGCAGGGAATCCGAAGTAGTACCATCAACCATAGTAACTATGTGTCTGTTCGTTAGGTAGCTTCCAAACCAATCGATAGGATCATTCGGAATACCTTTACATTTTAGTTTCAGGAGAAGCTCGGCAAGGGGACACTTTGTCAAATGCTTTAGAAAAATCTAAAACAGCCGCTAACACTGATTTGCCCTGATTAAGACTGATTGCAATAAGATCAACTATAGCAACAAGTTGATTTACAGGAGAATCATTTAGAAGAAATTCCTCCTGACTTCTGCAAAATCAAATTATTGCTTCTAAGAAAGAATTTACATCTTTACATTTACATCTAAATCTTTATAAACAACTCTCTCAAAAACTTTTGACAGTGCCCTCAAAAGAGTTATAGGCCTATAATTAGAGCAAATCTGAGGATCATCAGCTTTAAACAAGGGCAAAACAGGTCCACTTTTCCAAATACTGGGAAACTCCTTATTGTTGAGTATCTCATTAAAGAGGTGAGTAACAGGAGCAATAACAGCAGCTGCTTCCATTAGCATTCTGTTAGAAATGCCAGGAGCTGTAGCTTTACTTATGTCTAAATGTAAGAGAATTTACAACCAAATTCGCGTTTATCGTGGCATTTGCATACAGCTGATGTTCATGTATAGATCTAATGTTATCTTTAAATGTTTGACGTGATCATCGTGCGACTTACTAAATACAAGAATATCGTCGACAAATGTAATAATAAACTGATCAAGATGTTCATAAAGAGTAGTGTTCATAAATTTTATAAAGATTGATGGAGTATTACAGAGTCCGAATGGCAAAATTATAAGTGCAAATTGACCATAACGTGTATTGAATGTTCTCTTTTCAATATCACATTGCTTAACCCGAATTTGCTGCTAACCACTCCTTCGGTCGATTCTTGAAAATATCATTCCTAGTCGATTTACGAGGGAACCTTTTCAGATGTCCACCTTCGGTTTTAATGATTTATATGTCGATTAGTAGAGGATAGTGAGCTAGTAATAACTGTAAAAGGATTTGGGCTCTTGTCGGTTCTTTCAGAAGTTATGGAATATTTTCTCTTTTTTCCTAGTAAAACAGGAAAAAATGAAAATTTGTATAACTCTCTGAGAAAAAGAAATTAAGAGTTCAAATTTTTTTCTATGGCTTTTCTATATATCTCTGTATTCATAGAAAGTTTCAGCTTCTTTCGTGCCGAAGTAATAAAACCTTTGAGTTTTCCAAGGGTTTGCTGTTGGATAATCATAAAATCGTCAATTCTTAGATAAATAGATTTATTTTACACAAAGATAGGATATCACAAAAAAGCACCAAAAAGACTTGTGTCATTTGGAGATATAAATACAGATAAATACCTATGTTTTAAAACGTCGGTTTTCAAGGAGAGTTCTGAAGATCCTGTAATCCACGATCAGCTTGAAGGCACTTGCTTTGTTTTCAAAATAGAAATAAAGCATAAAAACTGTTCCACTTCTGAAATTTTCAGCAGTTTTTGTAGAGAATTGACGATTTTATGACTCTTTCATCGTGAACTTATCCAACAGCAAACCCTTGGAAAACTCAAAGGTTTTATCACACCGGCACGAAAGAAGCTGAAACTTTCTATGAATACAGAGATATATAGAAAAGCCATAGAAAAAAATTTGAACTCTTAATTCCTTTTTCTGAGAGAGTTATACAAATTTTCATTTTTTCCTGTTTTACTAGGAAAAAAGAGAAAATATTCCATAACTTCTGAAAAGAACCGACAAGAGCCCAAATCCTTTTACAGTTATTACTAGCTCACTATCCTCTACTAATCGACATATAAATCATTAAAACCGAAGGTGGACACCTGAAAAGGTTCCTTGTTAGTCGTTGTTTTGAGTTATAAATCTGTTTCTGATCGCGAACTGTTGTTAATAAGAATATGGTACTTTCTTCGGCCCCTTCAATAAGTTTTTGTATATTGTCACTGGTATATTATTCTTCAAACATTTTTATTCCTAGTCTTGTAATAACACTTAAATTTTTAAGTGAGTGATCTTTCGAAAATTTTGTATGTAGCATGAAGTTGACGGATAGAATTGAGAACGAAAAGTATTCGCTATGTTCTTAGCTTATGCATGACGGGCAAAAGGATAAATGTGTTTTGTTTTTATATTATTAATTAAAATAACAGACGAATAGCTGAAGAACGAGATAAGCTTATGATTTTTTAGAGTTTAGGTATAATGATATACTTTTGAAGCATGACTGATAGTTACAATATGAAAACTACCAATATTTTGTGTGCATTTATTAACAAAAACTATCAAGTCTGTGCAAAAGTACGGAAAGGAAAAACATAAATGTACATACACTATCATGCAAAAAATTGTTTAGTTCACACAAAAAACATGCCAAATAAGAAAATTACTACTGATAACATCGAGTCGATTGCACCACGTCAATCGTTGTACAGAATATAGATACAGAACAGTGGATTTAGTTTTGCAATTTACTGCAAAGCTAAGTTCATGTGTTCGAATCTGTATTTATACAAAATTGATTTTGTGTTTTCCGATAGTTTTAGTTTAGAATACTATAATGGAATATATTCCGCTTGTATTCTGACAGAATAAAGCTTATATCAAATTCTTTAGTCAACAATCTGTATTACAACCTTGAATTAATATTGGAACAACGCTTCCATGATCTAAATTTAAGTGTAGGTTAATCTGAGTTTGGTTTCGGTTTGGGTTATCAACAATATAAAGCAAAGATTGGTTTAATAAATCAACAATGTGATAATGCAACCATAATGTCATGTTATAACTCATGGATTGTAATGGTATTGTTAAAGAAGCTAAACCACTTGAATTTCTTGATGCTAGAACAGTAATTGATGCACCCGGGTTTGTTGCTTCATTCCACATGGAGTATGGCTCTAAATCAATGGTATCGTTTGAATATTGTGTAATTCTTAGAATATTGACACGATTTAAGGGACGATCTAAGGGTGCTAAAATTGTTCTATATTGTTTTCGAATAGAAATCAATCGTTTTACTTGATTTCTGAGATAGATATTAGATGAGTACGAGTTTTGCTGCCAATCTGATTGGTTAAAATATAAAACATTGGGACCGATAAACCAGTCATATGTTGCATTAAATTCTTCACCTTGAAAAAATCTCGGCACCATCGGTGACAATATAAATGCATAACCAAAATAAGATAGACGTCCAAATGCAGCATAACGTGAGGAATCATGATTTGAAATACCGACAGACACATAGGTTTCATAATTTCGAGAGCATTCATCGACTAAATTTAGACCATTCATAAAATCTGGATAGTTTGTTGTATTACTGAATAATAGATATTTATTTTGTGTAAAATCAAATGTATATGCCTGCGTACCTTGACTATTGATCAATTCTGTTATTAATAGTATTTGTTTTCCTGTCATATTTTCTACACTATCTCTTAGCTCTTTCCACAAAACTGAGCCAACATATGCTGGTTCTAAATCAATCCGAAAACCGTCAATATCATAAGTGTGAACCCATTTTAAACCGATACTTGAAATCCACCATGACCGTAATGCTTGAGAACTCCAATCTAATGCAACAGTACCCCATTGTGTTATAATGAAACTACCATTTTCATAATGCATAAAAAAGTCTGCCGGCAGTGTAGTTATATATGTACTTGAAGGATCAATGCCATGTACGACGTTATCAACAATAACATGCATTCCAAACTGATGTGCGGTTGAGACAAACTGAGTAAATTCTTGATCTACTTGTGTTGGGTCACTTCTGTTAGTCGATAAACAAGGATTTAATATATTTGGGTACTTGTTACTATAGGCATTAAGAATACGAGGGTCTATGGTAACACTAGTGCAGCCATCATTTAAAATTGGATTCAGTGATAGTAGTGTTATACCTAAATCAGCTAATTGTGATAAAAGAGTAGTAGCTGCTTGAAAACTTGATGCATTTTTGCCAAACATAATAACATCAGTAAACGTCTCTATACGCATTTCATAGACAATCGCATTTTGAGCCCATAGAGGTGTCGGATTTGCGGTTGAATTATTAGTTATCGTACGACAACGTGACGGTTGGAATCGACCCACAACCGGTAATTCTAACCGTTCGACAGCTCGTGGAATCATTCCATATTCTGCATCACCAGCACCACTCGCTAAAGAATACTTTAATATCCAATCCCCACCCAAAATTATTCCGACACCAGTTTTATTAACTGTCCATTGGCCAGCTATTCCAATTCGTTGACTAAAGGTGGGACCAAACTGAAAACGTTCTATTGTATTATTTGATGGGTCGTTTGTTAGTCGAATACTAAATATTGATGTTTGCTCATCATATACGCCAACACGGATGATTCCATCATTCTGCCAATCACCAACAACTGGATTAGATGTGGCAACATTGAATGTATCATTAATTGATAAAATAATATCAGCTGATCCGTTTGTATTTGTATTTCTTAAATAAAAGGATTTTTTTGAGCGATCATAAACTCCAATTGAATCAAAACCTTGTCCTGTCCAATCTCCAACAACTGGTAATAAGTCTTTATTTGATTGGTCATCAACAGGGATATATTTGATGCTAATATCAGCTGAACCAGAACTGGCAACATTTTTTAAATAAAATATTAAACTTTTCGGATCGAATAAACCCAGACCATCCCAAAAATACTCCTTATTCCATCGACCAGCGACCGGCACATAAGTTGAATCAAACATAACATTTGAATTGACCGGTGGAGAGAGTTTGATAAAGTTAACATAACCAGATTGATCAGAATCTTGAATATAAAATGAGCCTGGGCGATAAGTTATATATTCACCCATTGTTTCTCGATATGCAGCATCCTGATAATTGATACAATTAACGTAAGTGGATGATTGACAATAGCCTATATTAATAAACAAGATTATAAGTGCAAATGGTGAAGTATTCATTACATCGATTTGTTGCACGATAGTAATAGAATGAGTCAGTTCACTTGTTATTTATATTTGATATTTTTTTATCTGTTGTTCTTCTTTTTCTATAACATTTGTTAACGAGTATATAACGCATGTCATCTGTCTCATATAGGTTTTAGTAGAGATATCAATCACACCTTTCTTTCGTATACAAAGAAAGAAGCAATATAAAGTAAGAGTCAGTTGGTGAAAAGACGATCAATTTCAAGTCTGTGTTTATAATGTTATCACAAATAGCCACTATGCCACCAAGAGTATCCTTGTCGGTCCGTTGACGACTATTTATTATTCAAAAATTCTACTCTAATTACATAATAATAAATTCAATTCTATTACATAATAGAAAACTAAAAAATTTCCTATGTTAAATGTGTACGATTTTTTTCCAGTATTTTTTAAAAAAAGATCACACATATGGCAGTTCCAAAAAAATCTGGCTTAATTTTGTATATATAAGTGTGTGAATTAGAAGATGACTCCACTTAGTATAGTTGTTCTGACTCCATTAGACATAACCATTGATTCGACTGGAGCCACTTGTATTTCATCGGTCCATGAATGTTTAAACAAACAACTTAGATACTCATATCTTTTTTCGAATTATTTAATTCTATTTACTTTATTTCTCTAGTATTATACTTTATTTACGGTCAAAAACAAAGTATATCTTTGTAAAAAAATGTAAGATGCAGTTAGTGCAAACTTACAGTGGAATTTATTTTTGACTTTATTATATATATATTCGGATTCGGCTTAACGAGTTGATTCCGAATAACACCTTCCGAGCTTCCCAAAATAATTTCTTCAGGAAGAAAAACTCAAATTACTGAGACAAGTTCTAAAATACAAAGGACCGTATGAAATTGACTTTTTGCGGTTGTATTGCAAGATGGACGGTTCGAACTATACTTTTCTGAATTAGCATTGAAAAATAATTTAGAAAAAGGTTTCCAGTTCATTTCAGAAGTACAATCGTTCGGGCTGAAATGGTTATTGCATATGCTGAACACCTACATACTCGAGTGCTTTTCAAGTCAGCTTCGAATACTTCTGTGGATTCTCAAAGGTTTTCTACTGTCCTTTTGAACACTTTGTTGGATTCTTTATATTTTAGCTCTCAAAAAACGCGAAAACATTAGAAGAATGTGATGAAGCATGCTTGTTCTTTCAGAATCATAGTTATGATTCTGCAACAAGATGAGAGATCAAAGGGTACTAATACATTAATCAAAATTCTACTGCTATATCTATTTTGCACATTTTTACGGAAATTGTACGGCTCGTTAGCTTCTCCTACTGTACTAATTCAGCTCACGAAAGGATATATAAATAAGCTGTACGCCCTTTATTGTTATGGCTGGCATATTTCTTTATTTATTTTAAATCCTCTTGGATTTCCACAATTTTTCAGTAAATTACAGAATATTGGATTTATGGAATGACATTGTAATCTGCTATATGCTTTTGGACATGTTATTTGTTGAATAAGTCCAGCCTGTTTATCTGCCCATGGAACAACATCACGATCATGAATTATGTTAAATATACGGTGATTGATTGTATCCATGAGAATATTTTTCGTTTCGTCGTATTTAGCACGTGAATACAATACACCCGGCCCACTAATCGATATAATAACCGCTGTATTATCCAATGCAATACCAGCTAGTTTAGCCAGACCACCACCAAGTGAATGTCCAACTAATATAAGTGGCTTATTTTTATATTTATCATTTATCTGTTTTAAGATTTTAATCATTTGTTTAACATAAAAACGTTTAGATGATTGTTCTAATTCATTACTATTATCATTAATGAAATTTTCTAATAATGACATCTGCTTCACAATTATTTTATGAACACCACGAGGATATAATCTTGACCATGGAAACAAAATTGAAATCATTTGACTTATTGATGATTCTGTCCATATATCGAAATCAATTAACCATTCATAGAGTAATGTTGTACCACGTATAACTACAATAACTGCTTCTGATGTATCTAAAGTGTAATAAGTTATTTCGCCATGGCCATGTTCTTTATAATTTTGAAATTGTTCATCAAAGATGAATTCATTATTTGGATAAAAATGTTTTATATCTAACTTCAGTTGTTCTGTTGGCATATAAGCTAATGCAGCCAATAGAGTCATATCTTGTATATTAAATTTATTAAAGTTCCAATAACATGCTTGCATTCGATATTGTTGTTGTTTGTTATTGTCAAACGTATTATAACTACCAGATAATTGTTGATGATATAACGACTGATTATCTTTATTATGTATCGTTTCTTCATGAACCAAACTACCAAAACTAAACCCAAAAAATCCAATTAAAGAAAGTATGATAAACATAACTGAAAATGCTTGCATGTAAAGGAGCTATGCACAAATGATGATACACACATCATTCTAATCTTTGATCTTCCTCTCACTTTGTCAACTCTTCCAAATTCCTCTCTGATACCACTAACTTTCACTATCGTTCTGACACACTGACTATACAAGAGTAAGAGGAAGTTTTGAAACTTCGATATCAGCTACATCTAGAGTTGTAGAGTAATTAGTCCTGCGTTTTAGTAAAATTTTACGCTTAAAATAAAAATACCCGTTGCGTGGTAGCGTTAACAGAGATGGAACCTTCTACAACAGCCCTTTGAATGCGATTCCAATATCTCTGTACATACGCTACAGTTGATTGATACGCCATTCGAATTAATTGTTATTTAATTATTTTTAGCACTATCGACTTCAACGACGTCTTCATCAGACAAAATTGTAAAAACCACAATAATGTTTGCCTCTAACACGCCAACGTATATCATTGATGATCGAGCTTCTACAACAGATCCTTTTTTTAGTTACTTTCATCATTCTCTACAACTCTTCTCCTCTTTACAAGTTAACATAATTATCAAATAGTTACAAATGCTTATTGAATCATGACTCTTTTTCCACTTTATCAGGGCAACTGTTGGTGATGAATATTTTCTCCAATGTAGTATATAATAGAATAATAATATACTTGCATAAACGAAGGGAAAACATAGACAAATTAACGCTATGTTGCTTTTTGAAAAATAGCATAACACAAGAATACCCAAAATTGATGTTAAACACATTAAAATTAATAAAATTTGCACAAGAAACATTTGTTTATTTATAATCCATTGATTTGTTTTTTGATTAAAAATAGGTGGTAACCAAAGTAAAATAAGAATCATTTTTATAATATCCGTCATAAATAATCTATTTTCACTGAAAAAATGTGTAAACATTATATGAAATGATATGACCATCGTATAAAGAATAATTAATATAAATAATTTATATGTATGCAATTGTTTATTTTTCTTCATTGTTAATGATGATTGAATAATTCTTTCAATTAATTTTACTAACAAGTTACGTGTATAAAATAAATTTTTTTCTATCATTAATTTTTTATTATAACAACAACAACATATTTTATCATTATCAATATGAATAATTTTTATTGGTGTTTGATTATATAGTAAAATATAAATAGAGAACAATAGTAGTACAACTATTATATGATACGGCACATATAATCCCATTATATTACTACTAGTTATTATCATTACTATTGAAAATAATCCAAAAATTTGAATATATTGTATATCTGAATTCATTTCACTATCATCAATTTGACTTTTAAAATGATCCATATCATTTATTTTAGCATAAAAACATTTTTTAACAAAAAAACAAATACCAAATAAATGCATTATATGTAAAATCCACATTAATCCTAGTGGAATAAGACCTAATGATATTATTATACGAGTTAATAAATCTTCAGAACCAGAAAATATAATATAACTAGTTGTACATAATGTGATAATAATTCGATAAATTTCTTTCATAGATATATCTGTAAACTTTTTCTGTGGAAAACATAATAAAGTATCATCATTATTGTCATCATCTTTTTTCTCTATCAATTTTATTTGTTGTCCACGTTTAGAACAACAATGACAAATATGTACTGTATCATCATAAATTTGTTCTAATTTAATTCCATCATTTGTATAACAATGAAAACCAAATTGTATAATAAACCAAAAATAATGGGATGAAAATGATATAATACCAGGTAATAAAAAATAACATGATAGAAAAAATATGAAATTAACTAATGGTAATGATTTATTATTAAAATGTAAAAATGGCATAAATAATAATTGTAAAACAAAATTTAATGAATAACCAATCCATAGAACAGCTGCTTGTAATATTAATAATAATGTTAATAATCTTGAATACAATGAATAACCAAATATGTATACTATGAATTTTAATAATAATTTAAAAATATATTTACATGAAAATACTGGATAACAACTAGGACAATATTCTGAAGAATATTCACATGTTCGTATTATTGTCTCTGAATTATTGACATCTTCTGCCATATTCAAATCTTAGAGAATGTGAATCTTGTAAAAGTGTACAGTAATAAACGAGAAAAATTATGTCAACATTAAATTGAAAAGAAAAAAATGTCTAAAGAGAAACGAACGAAATATCTATCAACTATCATCAACATTTAACATAAAGTAGTGTGCCTTCCCTTATCAACAGTAAATAGAAGGACTCACTTTGTGTTTTTCACTTGTTGAAAGAGAGAACAGGTGAATCAAAAGTGTAGTTGCATTGAATTCTTCTGTCGATCAAAACTTGATGTTACGCCATGAAACTGACTTTAGATTGTAGAAAGATTTCTGCTCTTTTAAATCACAGACAGTTAAGATAACTGAACTAAAATAAATCGTGTTAAGGGGAGCGCATCCCGACAAGAGGTACTATTAAACCTTCTCAGATTGTAGAAAATACTTGTGTGTATTTGTAAAACTTAACTGTTTACTCAAAACTAATTATACAAGCGTGATTCTAGTGTGATTTGATCGAGAATCATTTTTAGTTAACCGTGAAAACCGTGTATTTGCTTTTCAAAAGAATAGGATTTTGGCTGAGTTATGAATTTTTCATTTTTTCCTGAAAATAGCCCAAAATGGGTTATTTCACCTACTACAGATTTTCACTCCGTTCTTGAACTTTCTTCCAAAAATTAACATCGCCACGAGCGTGTCTGATAACCTAGGTTTTCATGATTTCAGAAGGTTCCAGAACGAGGAACTGAGGTGTAACAATATAGAAACTGGTTTTCCCGAGATCCTCTGAAAAACCAATTCCAGAAATTTGTTCAAAAAACGTTTTTGCTTACGAAAATATAGATTAAACTATCCTCTTTCGACTGCCGAAAACCGCAGGTGTCTAGCTTTTATCAACTTTGAGTTACTCGGAAAATAACTATAGGTCTTATATTTTGGGTTGGATAGTAGTATTTTATTTATTATTTAGTAGTATTAGACGACGTCTTTGAGAACTAAAACTTTCAGCATAGTTAGCATTCGTATAGACCTGCTTTGTGTAAAAGTTTCAAGCGCGTACGATCTTATATGACTGAGTTATAAGGTTTTCTATTTTAGTCGATTTTCGCTAGGAAAACTTAGAAAAATACCTCTAATTTTTGAAGGAAGGACCTTGCGCGAAAATCCTCGGGCTTTTTACTACAGCTATATAATCCATGGATTGAGGTAGGTTTCACTGGAAAAGGAGGATGACACCTGAGAAGGTTCGCTCGTAAGATCTTACTCTTTAAGATCCTAATAAGATAATCTAAGGTCTTAGCGTTTAAGACCTTAATAAGATTTGATCGCTCTGCTTTCATTTATCCTTTTGTTTTGCTCTCATGCAAGTATGTGAGCAACACCAAAAATAACTAAATTTTACAGTGTTGTTTTTCACATCACCTACATTTCAATGTGTGATGAACAACCTTATTGGCTATCTATTTATTTTGACATTGAGATTATGTCAACTTATTTCGATGATATTATTATTTTTTCAAATTCATTTGAAGAACACATGCAGCATGAATGTAGGATTTTTCCAATCATTTTCTTTCATTGTGTCATAAAGTAAATATCAATAAAAAGTGTTCTTTCTTCCATGTTGGAAAAATTTACATAAACGAGCAAGCAACATTGTGACTCTTTTTCTGTTTCTATAAGAGTTCATGAGTTCGTTTATGACTTACTCACGAATAGAGTTTGTGTGTAGATACGAAGAAATCAATTGTTAGACAAAAATAAGAAATCGCGAACTTTTCAACACATTGGTAAGTTAATAGTACTTTTTATTTTCTTTTATTCTTCATAAAACATATTCTTTTGTATGTTAAAGTTACTTCCAACCGTGGAAGAGTATGAATAAAGGTCCTTTGCATTCGTTAACTTGCTTTTCGATAATAATTGAAAGAAGACTTAACGTGAAAGATGCACTAAAAAATTTATTTCTAATCATGCTCACGAGGGAACATCCCCGCTGCTTCGCTTCGCTTTCGTTCGTTCACACACCCTTCGATAGGAGACCTCGAATAGGTAAAAAGCCAAAAAGGATTTCGACGGACGGCTTTTTTCTTCGGAAGCTACAGCCATTTTACTGGAATTTTAGCCCATAGTATAGTATACGCCAACAAATCGAATGATAGTATTTCGACCTGAAATTTTTCTCACAGATAGGTCTGCTTGTAACTAGAATATCCTGAAATTTTCAGCTCGAAAAAATATTTCCTTCACGAGATATTGAATTTCCAAAAAACACTTATATCCAATGAAAGATGGGGAGCCCGAGAAAAGTAACATAAAGTGATCACATTTGGTAGAAAGTTTGGCAGAAAATTGATTTATATGTAATGACCAACCACAGAAGGATAGCGCACATCGGAATGAGTCCCAGTTAGTATTCTTGTAGTCGTACATCCTCCTTTGATATTTGAATGAAGTATCGCTTTTACTATCAGTCGAGGAAAATGATCACATTTGGTCCCTATCTTTCATTGGATATAAGTGTGTTTTCGAAATTCAATATCTTGTGAAGAAAACGTTTTTTCGAGCTGAAAATTTCAGAGTATTCTAGTTACAAGCAGACCTATCTGTGGAGAAATTTTCAGGTCGAAATAAATCATTCGATTTGTTGGTGTATACCGTATTCAATTAAGAAATTCCGCTTCAATCATTTTTTTTCTAAATGAAATGTTGTGAAGCCAAAAAGAAAATGTTTGCTCACGGACTGCATGAATAGTGTCAAGTTCAGTAAAGTCATGAATAAGATAGTGAAGAATGTTCCTTTTGGTGACGCTGATGTTGCTTCATTAAATCGTCTACACGTGCGGACACGTCAGCTTTCTGTAATGTTTGTACTTCAATTCGAGCTTTTGAATGTGATTGTATGATATGGAACACCTTTTTCACATCTTCCATAAGTAATCCAAACTTTTTCCGATGGATTTCTACATGTAGTTCACGTTGCTTTTCTGTTGTGCATGACAACTCCATATTTTAGTTGTTGAAGCAAAGATTTTATTTATTGCATGATTTTCATATAGAGAAAGAACACGTACATGTGTGCATTTAAGTTTCACCAATTTCGTCCTTTCCGCCATCAATTCTCACCTACTGCTTTTTTCAGTCCAGTTAATCTCTATCTGTCAATGCCTTGTGTTGTGTCTACTGTAGTGTTCTGTCTCTTGTTTCATTGCGAATATGGTTAAGAGAAAAAAAGTTAACACAAGTACTAGCTACTGCACATCATGGCGAAAACGTTTTGTTTTTGAATGCACGCAGTATCTTACCTGATGTGAATAAGGTAATGAGTACAATCTAACTGCTTCGATTACAGGCAGCTAGATTACAACCAATTCTGCTCGCTATAGTTGAAACTTGGCTAACTCTCTCTCTCATGACATAGGACAGTTATACATAAAAGACTATGATTTGTTTTTACGTAAAGATAGAATCAACAAGCACGCTGGAGGCATATTAGTATTTATACGGAAAGGTACTGTAGCAAAATGATTACCTTCGTTCAATAATCCTAACTTTAATCTAAACGTTTTTATTTTCCAACAAATCGAGCTAGCTCATTACATGTTGGTTGAAGTTGAGCAAATGTGAGAATAATAACAACAGGAAAAAGAACAACAAGTAAAAACAAAAAGAAAGAAACAAGCAAAGTGATATAAAGTTAAAAAGAATTGATCATATCAAAGGTAACGTTTTTCTTTGTTTCAGGAATCTGCTAGGAGTACAGTTCTACTTTGGTGAGAAAAGAAGGGTCGCACATCGTTGGATCCGACGAAAACGTTCTGCATCCTTTAAAAATTTTAAAACAGAAAGATATAGGATTTTAATTTTATCTTTTTCGAGAGAGAGCATGTCGCCGTTTTTAAAAAGTAAATGATCTTGTTATGTCGGTTATTTGTAGTATAAATTGAAACGTCTTAGTTCTGAACGTTGTGCTATATACTTTGCGCAAAAAAAGAAAAAGTAAGATGATGATTCGCTTTTATATCCGCACTCACACTCGGGGGCAGTCACTAAACGCCTTTTAGCCAAGTCCTCATTCAACTGTGTGAAACTCAATCGAAAACGTGAAAAATCTATTTCCAAAATTTTGTCGGTCACAGGCGGAAGATTCAATATCTGTAAAAAAGGTTGTTTCTTTTTAAATTTAAATGTTGCTGAGTTTTTCAAATTTTTTACATCGATTGGTAAGCTGTTCTATAGTTGAATGGTAGATGGTATAAAACTATTCCTAAGTACAAGCAGATCATCATGATGAGACGGTAGCAGTCCCCGTGCCTGGCCGCGCAATGGATAACTTACAGGTGTCTGTTGCGGTCGTAAATCTCTAAGGGGTACTTGTCCTTTTATCACTTTGTAAAAAAGGCATAATCGATAAACATCGCACATATCATATCTTACTGTATTTGAATTCTCATCTTTTTTCAGGTAAAGTGGATCCCACTCTAGTTCAGCGCAAACTTTTTCGTATGAAGTACCACCCATCGCTCCTAGGATCGCACGCCCAGCCTCATATTGTAAGGTGTTAAGTTTTTTCAAGTTTAATTCAGTTGTGCCCGAATAAATAACACTTGCATAGTTGATTCTTCCAAGAGCAAAGGCATTTTAAGCTAAAGAGAGTGCCTTACGTGACAACGATCTACTTAGAAATTTGATTGATCCTAGTAATCCTAACTTTGAAGAATGTTTTCTAAAACTAAAAACAACTTCTATGAATAATTATTGGCGATTTTAATGGACACTGTTTCAACTGGTGTCCATCTGTACCAAGTACGGATGAAAGGGATAAACTATTCAGTTTTCGTGTGTTGAAGGTCTACACCAGTTGGTATCAGATGCTACTCGTCCAGAATCGAATACCTGTTTGGACGTAATATTTACGAGTAATATCTCAGCCGTTACTAACATTAATATACTTTTGAGCAACAGTGATAACTTGGAGTTCGAAATTTATGGAGATAACAGATAGAATAATTTCTAATAAG